AGGAAAACCTCACCACCCTCTATAGGACCAGTCCCAGGCTGTGCCCAGTTTTCTTCTCCCATTTAGAAATACCATCCTAGAGAACCACAGGTGGCTGCTGCATGATCATCCAGGTGGGTTGGCTTGCTGAATTCAGTGCAGTCTGGCTTTAGGCTCCTTCTTGGGGACCCATATGTGGGTCTGGTGCCCTCGAACCCCCACTGCTGGCCCTGCCAGGGGCCTGGGGCCACTATCCATCACTGTGGCCAGCCATTTGAGGGATCCACTGTGCTGGCCACAGGGGTTGGCACCCACTGCCTGGCCACATGGCTTCCAGTGTCCTCCGGTCCTGCAAATGAGCAGCCCACACATCTGCACAGTAGGTCCCTGAGAAAGCACATCTCTCCATTCTCCTTGTTTATATAAGCTACCGCCTTGGGTCAGGTTGGTCCTTCCAACTTATGCATGCTTTGGGAAGGTCTGCCTCCCTCTATAACCAAACCTGTCTTTTCCAGGCTAGACTGATGAGTCTTCAGTGAACCAGAAAGGAGTAGGAGGGCTATGCATAGTGCAATGACTTCCTCCTGCCATGTCCTGCCCAGGGGAGGGGGATCTGTCATCACACACAGTGCTAGCCTGGTTACCCAGGCAACACTATGCTTCCTTTACATCACCTCCCCTGCACTCCCACTTGTGCTCCAGGCACTGGCCAGGCTACCAGCACTGGCCAGGTTACTAGTATCAGAATGAGGAGATAGATTAGAAATAAACATAGGAAAAGAAAAAGAGAATTATCAAAGTCTTTGAAACATAGACACAAATATTTTAAGATTTAACAAAATTAGAATTCTCTAAAATACCCTAAAAAGAGAAGATTGACCTGTACTTTGCCTTTCATATTAAAATTTTATTTTTTTACTTGGTTCTTTTCCTCTAAATACAAGGTCTGTCCAGAAAAAAAATCTAGCCATTATTATTATAATAAGAACAGTTTAAGCAACATTGATGTAACCTGGCAGCCAAGGAGAGTGGACTTGAATGCACATGTGTGAACAATGATGACTTCACTGTACTAGTTGCTGGGGGCAGTAGATGCCCTTGAGTGAGCATGTGTACTGTGTGGCCAGCACATTCAAAATGACTGAGTAGAACAATGAATCTGCATCAAGTATTGTGTTAAGCTTGAATATTCCTCCATGGAAAATATTCAGATGATTCAGAAGGCTTTCAGGGACAATGCTATGAATGCAGCACAAGTAAAAGTGTGGGACAAATTCTTCAAAGATGGTCAAAATCTGTTGAAAATGATCCATGTTCTAGAATGCCCGCAACATGCAGAACACCTGAGAATGTTGAATGTGTGTGGGCTGCAATCAACAAAGGTTAGCAACTGACAGTGGGAGAACTAGAAACTGATCTAGAGGTTGCAAAAACTACTGTGTCAGATTTATTGCAGGATCTTGGCATAAAATGTGTCATGGCAAAATATGTTCCACAGCTTCTGCTACCAGAGCAGAAGGAACCTTGTGCTGCAGTTGCTAATGACTTGATTCAAACCACTAGCAGTGAACCAGATTTCCTCAAGAAAGTCATAACCAGAGATGAAAGGTGGGTCAATGGCTAATCCAGAAATGAAGACCCACTTGTTCCATTGGAAGTTGCCCGGTTCTCCACATCTGAAGGAGGGGTGGCAAAGTCTAAGCAAGATCAAGACCATGTTGTCCATCATGAGTGAACATCTCCAGACCAAACAATTAATATAGAGTACTACCTCAATGTTCTTTGTCAATTGAGAGACGCAATACAATGAAAATAGCCTTAGCTATGAGCAACTGGTAATTGGCAGCTTCATCATGACAATGTGCCTGCTTATGCATCATGTCTTGTGCAGAGTTTTTTCTGCAAAACATCAAATCATCCATGTGACTCAGACCCCCCTACAGCTCAGATTTGGCACCCTGCAACTTCTGGCTTTTCCTAAAACTAAAATCCCTTTTGAAAGGGAAGAGATTTCAGACCTACAATGAGATTCAGAAAAATATGATGGGGTAGCATCATATTTTTGGAATTCTTTGATTCCAACAAAGGATTTTGCAGAGTGTTTTGAACAATGGAAGAGGCACTGGGAGAGCTATATGAGGTCCCAAGGTGCCTAATTTTCAGGGGACTGAGGTGTCATTGTCCAAAGTGCAATGTTTTTTTGAATTTTGTATCTTCTTCAGTAAATGTCTCTATTTTTCATAATACATGGCTGCATCCTTTCTGGTCAGATCTCATATGTCGTTTTAGATTTGATTTGACTTGACCATAAACGATGGGTTTCTAATAAACTACTAATTTTTGAGTTGTAAGATAAATGTGCCTTAAGCTTCTTGAGAAACACTGAATTAGTAAAATAACTTAAAAATAGAAAACAGCAACTATAAAGTTTCTGGCAAAGAATATTTTTGATTTTATAAATTCTAAGGCAGGAAAAACATCATGTTGACTTTATAAGATATATCAGAATTATTCTTTCAATATGACAAAGTATAAAGTACTAATGTATTAGAATATACTAGTCCACTTTGAGGAAAAAAAGCATATGTTCCTTGGAATTCGGAGGCTGCTCACTTGACCCTAGAGAGGACCATTATTTTTTTAAACATTTTATTTATTTATCTTTAGAGGGGAAGGGAAGGAAAGAGGGAGAGTAACATCAATGTATGGTTGCCTTTCGTGGGTCCCCTGCTGGGAACTGGCCTGCCGGAAACTGGTCTGCAACCCAGGCATGTGCCCTGATTGGGAATCGAACCACAATTGTTTGGTTTGCAGGCCCCGCTCAATCCACTGAGCTACACCAGCCAGGGCAGGACCTTTGTTTTTTTAACAGCCTATTACAGCGCTAGGATCCCTGGGAAGCATGCCGCACCATAATGGAGCAATCGTGACTATAATTTCTTTCTCCACAGCATTACTCTGGAATGGACAAGGAGGCCAAGAATACCAGGAAAGAGTAGAATTCCCTGAGCAGCTGGATGATTTCATTACCTATTGGTCCCCCAGGGCTTAATTTTCAGCTCAGGAGAGTACCCTCAGGTTTTTATCTGTGAATTGTAACTTGAGATGTATGTCTCAGTTTAAGGCAGCCTTTCACAAAAACAAACTAAAAATGTGTCTCTCTTCTGACAACTACATTTCCAAATGATGAAAAATAGTTGTGGTTTTATGTTGGAATTTTCCTAAAGCACGTGGTCTTCCTAAAATATTTTATAATAATACTAATAAAGTATTGGAGATAATAATAGCATGTATTCTTAATTCTGACATCTTTCAATAGGAAGATTTTAAAAACTCATTTATTTGGTCATATGTTGTTTGTACTGTTTTATTTATTTAAACAATTTTCCCTCTAAAACTAACCCATGCTTAATAAAATTATTTTAGAAACTCATATAAATTAGTTGCTAAATTATATTATAGATTCTCTTCTCTTTCTCTACAACCACACAAGGACAGACCCTTTTATACTGATATGTATCACTTTTTAAAAGTTATTTAAATTTATTGTTTTGAGAAAGAGAGGAAGGGGTAAAGGAGGGGTAGAGAGAGAAAGAGAGGAGACATCATTTTTTCCTACTTACTTATGCACTCATTGGTTACTTTCTTCTATGTGCCTTGACTGGGGATCTAACCAGAAACCCTGGCAAATCAGGGTGATACTCCATTTCACTGAGCTTCCTGACCAGGGCTTGATATTTATATCTGGATAGATAACTACTGACATATAACTCAGAACATAAATTTTTATACTGAAGTACAGTAATATGTTCTGTACTTTCCATTCAATGTTATATCAACAGATCTTCTTTATTATTATATGTAAAGAATAAAATGTTGAATAGTCCTCTGAATTGGTACAATATAGATTTAACATTCCATCAAAATTAAATATCTAGATTATTTTTACTTTTTATGATGTATATATTTAACATTTCTATTTCTAAGGCATTATTAGGGACTGTTCTCACAAATGGAAATTTTCGTATCATATTCTATTAATATTATATGTATATTGATAATGGAAGATATTAGATTATATTCTAATATGTGAGAATATCCTTTTATTTCTTTCTTAGAAGATTGGATATCTTATAAATATTTCTGAACTTAAATTTTGAAATAATATTATTATAGTTTAAAGTTATAATGATGATATTACCAAAAATAAATATTTTTCTATAATATTAAATTATTGTATTAATCCTTTTGTGAATTTTAAATTTATTACTGTTGTCTATATAGGAATGAATGTGAATATTTCTCTTAAAAATATTATACTTTATGTTCTTTCTTTTATAGGTAAAATATTAATAATTTAGAGCATTGAATTAAACCTATGATAATTCTTTGTGTTTATTTTTTTACATTTACTGTAAATACATTTTAATTTATTGCTAATTTAAACATCTCTTTATCATACACAGTAGATTTTAGTTGATTATAATATTGAAATATGTTTATATCATACTTTTAAGTATTTCACTTATTTCTAAATTTTGAAACATTTCTATTCTTCACAGCTTTGATAACTATGTATATGTACAAATCTCTTTGATTTTATTTTCATAAAATTTAACTTTTCAATCCATCTGAGATTTATGCTAGTATCTTTTAAGGTAATAAATATTTTGAGTGCTTTTCACTTTGTTTTACTATTTGTCTCAAAATATGTTGATTCATTTTTGATTTAGCAGATACACAGAATGCATTTTTTTTTAAATTTATTTATTTATTTTTAGAGGGGAAGGGAAGGAGAAAGGGAGAGAAACATCAATGTATGGTTGCCCTTTGCGCATCCCCTGCTGGGAACTGGCCTGCAGGGAACCGGCCTGCAACCCAGGCATGTGCCCTGACTGGGAATCGAACTGCGATTGTCTGGTTCGCAGGCCCGAGCTCAATCCACTGAGCTATACCAGCCAGGGCACAGAATGCATTTTTATAAATTTTTTTAGTGTAGATATTCCAATGACTTTATTAACTTGCTCTTTCTGGAGGTGGCAGAACCTGGTAGCTGGAGAGCTGGAAAGGAAGCTGTGGCTTCTGAATGGGGCATTAAAGGGGTACAAAGGATGCCCTGCATCTCTTGGGGCCATCTTTCCATCCACCGTAAGCAGGGGCACTATGTATAGCCAATTTTTGTTCAGGGAATCTATCTGCTTTATCTCTTCTGGGGCAAAGGTTAAGTAAAAAATCTGGATGTTCTCAAGGATACCCAAAGGTGTGATACTCTTGGGGAAGGAGATCACTTCCTGCTGGACCTGCCACCTGAGCAAGATCTGGGCTGAAGACTGGCTGTACTTTTGAGCCAGTGCTAGGACCAGCGGTTCCTCAAGCAGGGCAGGCTCATCAGGATTCCGCCAGATCAGAGGAGCCCAGAGGGCTGTGAGCATCACCTTCAGGCCGCGTGCTTGGCAGTAGGCAATCTGGTTCTGAGCCAGATACAGGTGGCATACCACCTGCAGGACAGCTGGGCACACAGAGGCCACATTGAGCAGATCATCAATCTGCCGACTGCTGAAGTTGGACCAGCCCAGTGACCGCACCAACCCCTTAGCCACCAGTGCCTCCAGAACCTTCCAGGTCTCCTTGTAGTCAGTGGAGTGACAGCAGATAGTCCCATCAGTATTTTGGGGAAAGGGTCACCTCTCCACTCAAAGGCGTAAGGCCAGCATATCAGGTACAGGTCCAAATACTCCAGCTGGAGGTCAGCCAGTGTTTTCTGGAGGACAGGTTCCACATCCTCAAGGTGGTGCTTAGTTCTCCATAGCTTGAAAGTCACAAACTGGCCCTCCTGAGACATTGTCTTGCCAGGTTCCACATTTTCCTTCAGGGCCTCCCGAATTTCAGTCTCATTGCCATGGTTAGCAACGCAGTCAATGTGGCAGTAATCAACACTCAGGGCACATTTAATAGCTGCTTTTACTTGGCCAGGGTTGCTCTTCCAGGTGCTCAGTCCAATCAGGGGCATCTTCTGCCCAGTGTGCAGGATGACACAGGAAGTTGCCATTGCACCTTCTTAGTGAAGTTCAGTCTTCCCTTCTCAGTGGAAGGCTCTGTAGTTGCTGGCTGGATGCAGTGAACTCTAGTCGAGCACTGAGGATGAAAAAGGTATAATCTCACCTCAGTTCTGAGCCCTGCTAGTGATCCAACCTGCCTCAGTTTCTGGGATGGCTGGGCTGCAAGGGAAGTTGGCCTCTATTTTTATAAGTTATTTTAGAAAGTAGGTTCTGATAAAAAATTGGATTCAAGTCTCTTCATTACCAGTTGGAGCCTAGTATTTCATAACGTCTTGGTGTTAATTTCCTTGTTTATACAAAAAAGCAGGACAGTAATAGCACCTCTGACAAAGTTCTCTGAAAGGCTTAGTTAAGTCATGCTTAGTGATTACCTGTGACCAGGATGGGTTTGTTATTATTTACAGTTTTTATGAAATGTTTTACAAGTATCTTTTGTTCACTACAACTGTATGAATTTTTATAACTTTGTACTGTCTTTTACAAGATATATCTCGTTAAAATATTTTAGTTTTTTAGAATTTGGAAAATGTCTAAATTCAATTTTTGTCTAAATATTTGATTACACAATACTAGGTACTAAACAGATGCTCAGTAAATACTAATTATTTATTAACAAATATGCAAAAGCGACAAAACTTAATGACATGCTGCTCACACTCAGCCAAAAAAAAGTCTCTAATGACAGGTTATTAGAGGAATAGGTAATAAATACTGCCTTCGATAGGGGAGTGTCTCTCTCTCTCTCTCATATCATCATCATCATCATCATCAGCAGCAGCAGCAGCAGCATCTACCTCTTCCGTGAGGACGCTCGTGGACACACACATACACACCATCTATTTTATGCTGTTATGTAGAACTACATCCTTAGCTCCAGGTGATTTAATCAGCATTGCATACTGTGCCCAAGCCATTTCCTGTTCTGGGATTTAGAATTTAGGCAGATTATTTTCTCTGGTTCTGAGGAGATGAAAAGGCAGAAAGGACAGGTCAATACTGAAAGCTAGTATGTATCAGTTAAGCCCAACATTGGTAAAGAGGATGGTTTCCTGTTAATGGCCACAGTTCTCAGACCTGTCAAAGGACAGTATTGGTCTTCTAGTGACAGATAAAGGGAAAAAAGCAGTTTCTAAACTACAAGTAAATTCAATGTGAAAAGAATAGAAGAAAATAACAGTTCTAATAGAAAACACATTATGACAAAAAAGTTATGTGGCTTTCTGTGAAATAAATGAAACTGGGCATAACTATCTTTTCCTAAGTTGTCACTTCTCATAGGTCTTTTCCCCCATAGAAATGGTAGAATTATTCATTAACACATACAGCAGGCTTAGAAATAAAGATTGCAACCTTCAATGTAATGGTTAAAAATATAACTGCCAATTGTCATTATGGTGTGCATTTCTATGTAGAAGTTATTTCAACATATTTTTAAAATTAAGGGATGGGAGAAATAAACAGTAAACTGTACTTGAAAAATAACTAAATAAAAATTATGTATCAATTAAAAAATGTACAAATGTAAAAAAAATAAAATAAAAAAATGGAATACTAAAAAAAATAAAATTAACCATGTAAAACGGAAGAGGAAAACTAGTCACAATAACACAGACACTAATATTTTTCTTCTATTAACTATATATACTTTATTGGTAAAGTTTTTAAAATACATTAAATGCTGGTTGACACTAATTTTCATACAACTCTATTCATTACCAAAAATCTTGTATGAATAAGACCACATCTATATGTATAGACATACAATGAAGGTCACATAAAATGCTTGCGTATTGTTTAATACAGTAACACATCTAACTTGAATGGCATATGTAGATGTCTTTTCTCCCTTTGCTGCACATCTCATGCATCTCTGTTGTCACATCAGGCAGCAGAATACCTGGCGCAGATTAGGTTCAATAATTAATGTATTAAATGAGATATATTTTCTATCACTTTTATTCCATTTTTGTTTAAACATAATTTTAAGAAATGTTGCTTCTTTTTTGATATCTTACAGTAAACTCATTCTGCCAGAACTGTTATTAATTGGTAAAGTATAATTTACAGCTGTTTTAAGGTATAATTTAAAGTAGTATGGTCTTAAAGTTATGACATTTCTTCTAAAACATAGCATATACCTGTATATATACTCTAGAAGATTTCCTGGATTTTTTTTCTTTGATCATCTGATAATAAAATTTCTTCAATTGATCTTTACAAAACAGATGTATTTGACCAATTTTTGCTGAAATTACTTGCTGTTTTGGAATATTTGGATAATTTTTAGATTCTGTATTTGGATTCTATAGTAAAACAGAATATACACATATCAGAGAAAGAGAGAGTATATCAAAGAGAGAAATTTACTATTATAAGGCATTATAAGAGATAATGTGATTTTGGAGGTTGATAAATGCCAAGATCTGCAGTCAATAAGCTGAATAGTCAGGAGAGCAAATGGTATAGTTCCAGTCCAAAAGTTAGCAGGCTCAGGACCGAGGTAAACCCGGTCTTAGTTGAAGTCTAAAGGCAGCAAAATAAAATAGAATAAACCTATGTTCCAGCTCAAGGCAGGCAAAAGAAAATTCCCTAATGCTCACAGCTGGTCTATTCAGGCCTTTAACTGATTGAGAGGGGCCCACCCACATTAGGGGAAGCAATCTGCTTTACTCAAATTCTGATGTGGCTCTCACCCAGAAACACCCTCACAAGCACACCAGAAAAACGTTTGGCCAAATAAATGTCTGGACTCCCCATGACACATAAAACTAACCATTAGAGATCCCTTTTTGTTTATAGGTTTATGCCTTTTGATTTATTAGTATGTAAGCCACTATCAAAGATAAAGTAATTTTCTTCTTCCTTAACTTTTTTCACTTATTTTCATTTTCCTCTTAGGCCTCTTCTGCCTCTGAGGTTCTCAGAGTTCTTCCCTGGACACATTTTCCCAGGTAATCTCAATGCTCACGTGGCTTCAACTATTGTTTCCTGCTGGATTAGTCTTCTCAGGCGGCCCCAGTAAAATACAGTGAACTGGGTGACTTAAACAACAAAAATTTATGTTCTCCCTGTTCTGGAAGCTGGAGGCCCAAGGCCAAGGTACTGGCATGGTCAGTGTCTGGTGAGGGCTCTTCTCCTGGCTTGCAGATGTTGCCTTCTTGCTGTGCCCTCACATGACAGACAGGTCAGCGAGCTCACTGGTGTGTCTTTTTATAAAGGTTCCATGAAATTTTTTTTTGGTTCTTCAAATTTGTATCAGTGTTGCTAAACATTAGGGCTTTTCATACGCTGTTCCATTTGGCTGGCTAATTCCTATTTACCCTGCAGTTCCCAACTTAAAGTCACTTTCTCAGGAAAGAGTTCCCCAGCTTGTCAAACCTGCATCGGTCACCTCAGAGGAGCCTGAGTCTTATTATAATGCTTATTACATGCTAATTACCTATGTTTCCCCAAAGCTGTTGGGCTTGTGCTTGTTTGTTCAGTTTTATATCCACAGTGGTCAGGACAGTATTTGGCATATACTGGAAGCAAATAAATAAGCATTACATGAAATTTAAAGCAAAGACTTTAGATGCATTTCAATATTCCTAAATCTGTAAAACACTGGCATCATGTAAAATGTATAAATATTTTACATTGAAAGTGTAATTGAACGACTGTTTTGATATTCCCAGGTTCTGTTTCCTCTCAGTAAAATGAATTTTATTAAGTTTTGAACTTTTTATTTATTTTGAATGTCTATTTTTTTCAAAAATCCTACCTGTTTGAGTATGGGAAGCAGCACTGCACTTAGAGATCTTAACAGAAGCATCCCTTGCAATGGGTTTCAAATTTTAGGTATATTTTTCTGGCCATGATTTTGTGGTCTCTCAGCCCATGGGCTAAGAGTTTATGGGACAGAGGGCGAACACATGTGGATTCTGCATCTTCCCGACACAATGCTTGTCCTCCTGAGAAGAGATCATAGGACCAGAGTACCAGAGCTTGGTTTATGGGTGTTTGCTTTATCTTGCTTATGAAAGTAGAGGGCCAAGGAGTGAGACTTTAGGGAAACTGAAGGAACTGATGCATTTTTTAATGTTGTCACATGCAGGTATAGGGCCTCTTATAATGAAGGATATGGTCAGAGGCAGGAAAAATAAGTGCCTGGGTGAGGGAGGGGCATAGAACCAGGATCCAGGGGCCGGTGTAGCTGGCTCGCCTTGTTATCAACAACACATTGTAGTTCATCACAAAGTTCATCACATTGTAGTATTTGTCACCACAAGAGGTTAGAGATTTTATTTAATGACGTTTTTTAGATATTTTGGCAATTTTAAGAATTGATTTATAAACTTTAATTATTTTGACATAGTCTGTGTATGCCGTTTGTATTACTGACATAGTCTCTGCAAACATCAGGGTAGTTCTGATAGAAGTCGATCAGAATTGCAAGCCTGCATACTTGCAGTCTTTCTCTGATATCTGATGAGCTCTCCAACAAAGATCCCCAGATTTAAACTAGCTGCCTATTGTGTATCTCACTCACGTGAGGGCAACTGTTGAAACTCTTCCACTTTTACACTATGCCTTAAAATGTATCTAACACTTCTTTGGGAATGATACTACTTTTACAATTTAAGAATGTCAGATATTTCCGTACATAAAGGCTTAGTGTCATCTGTTTTAAGGGCTATTATAAAGTCCTTTTATCATATGAAAATTACTTTTCTTTAATTAACAGGAAGATAAAATGTCCCTCTCAGGAAAGAGAAAGAATTTCCCTTTGAATTACATTTTCCTGAGCTTCTCAGGTCAAAAGTATTGTTTTATATTGTATATTTCAAATGATATCTTCAGCTAAGGAAGGGTGCTTTAGAAAAAAATTGATTTCAGAAAACAAAGGCTGACACTAAAACATAATCTTGCAGCTATTCATCTTAGCTACACAAAGTAAAGAATATCCCCTTATCCCCTCAGGAATGACTTAATAAACTTGCAATGACTTATA